CGACACGATATATCGTGCAGCCCTAATCACAACACTGCTGTATAAGCTTACACAAAAAGGGGAACAAATAAACAAAATAATGAAAAAATAAATAAAACACAAGGGTTTTAATTTTTTTTAAATGTTACTAAAATTAAACATGACTCTTCTGTATAAGAAATGCTAATCTAGTATGCAGTGGAGTATATTCTTAAAAATGAGATTCCACTTGCACAAACTCTAATTTCAGTCATTAATATTGGTGAATAAAGTCGTAAGCACATAGTATTTCCCGTACTAAAGGTCCACATGTTGTCTTATTTCAGGGGAGGAAGAGACGGAGGGTCCGGTGGTCCAACACGAGAACACGCCGTAAAAAGAAAGGCTCCGAAGACGAAGAGGAAAACAGCGAAGAGGAGTCGAGCGCAGAGGAGGAAACTGAGGCAGAGGACGACAGCGACGAAGATTACAAGGTGGAGCGACGCAAACGGAGACGCAATCGAAACCGAGAGAGACGAGAATCGGACTCCTCGACCTCCTCAGACGACGATTTACCTCCAAACGACGACCCCTGCAAACACTGCGGGCTCCCAAGCCAACCAGAGCTGGTGGGTACTCACAGATACCACGATAATACCAACAAATAACTCAGTTTTATCATTAAAGTGGCTTTTTTTTTTTGAAGTTAGAAGGTATGTTTACAAGCTGAAGACGGAAGACAATATATAAAACCATTTACAGCGTAACCGGTAAAAGACGAGCAATAAAAAAAGTAGCTCACATGTTAAATATTGAGGAAAAGCAAATTTAAGTACTACAAAATAAAGACAAATAAGTACTCATCCATGGCTACAATATGAGTGGCAGTATTTATAAAGGGAAGTGATAATAATACTAACGTTTGAGATATTATAAAAATGATCTTTTGCACATAACAATTTGTATGGTTATTACACAAATAAAGTATATACAGTAAATTGCACAAGATCTGAAAAGAAATAAATCTATAACTTAATCAAAATGCATCAAATGAAGGAAAAAGGCAAAGAAATCTTTTAAGACGGGAATTAATTAAGAATTTAATATTTCTGTCCGTATATTATTATCTCGATGTTTATTTATATAGCCCAATATCACAAATGTTACATTTGTCTCAGTGGACTTTACAGTTTGTACAAAATATCAGTATGACAATAAGAACTGAATCAGTGAATTAACACATTTTTACATATATATTTTTTAATAATAATACATTTTAATTATAGAGTGCTTTTAAGGGTACTCAAAGACACTTTACATGTTCAATTCATAAAACACAACCCTCTTAAAATAAACAAAACGCAACAAGAATAAAAGCAGTTCTGAAAACGTGAGATTTGAGATATGAAGACAGATTAAATCCACTCATGAATTGTGGTTTTAAAATTAACTTTTCATGAGTAACCAATAAGTAAATATATTTACTTGACAATATAAAATGCATACTGCCAGCTTGATGATATAAAGGATTTATTGAGTTAACATGCGGCTCTTTTCCAGATCCTCCTGTGTGATTCCTGTGACAGCGGATACCACACGGCCTGTTTGAGACCGCCGCTCATGATCATCCCCGATGGAGAGTGGTTCTGTTCACCCTGTCATCACGTACGTACAAATCATCAAATATCAGATGCTGGGAAGTAGTGGAGTATAAATACTTTGTTACTGTACTTAAGTACATTGTTCTGGTATCAGTACTTTACTCCACTACTTTTACTTTCTACTTCTTACATGTTGAACACAAATACCTGTACTTTCTACTTCTCACATGTTGAACACAAATACCTGTACTTTCTACTTCTTACATGTTGAACTCAAATACCTGTACTTTCTACTTCTTACATGTTGAACTCAAATACCTGTACTTTCTACTTCTTACATGTTGAACTCAAATACCTGTACTTTCTACTTCTTACATGTTGAACACAAATACCTGTACTTTCTACTTCTTACATGTTGAACCCAAATACCTGTACTTTCTACTTCTTACATGTTGAACACAAATACCAGTACTTTCTACTTCTTACATGTTGAACTCAAATACCTGTACTTTCTACTTCTTACATGTTGAACTCAAATACCTGTACTTTCTACTTCTTACATGTTGAACACAAATACCTGTACTTTCTACTTCTTACATGTTGAACACAAATACCTGTACTTTCTACTTCTTACATGTTGAACTCAAATACCTGTACTTTCCACTTCTCACATGTTGAACTCAAATACCTGTACTTTCTACTTCTTACATGTTGAACTCAAATACCTGTACTTTCTACTTCTTACATGTTGAACTCAAATACCTGTACTTTCTACTTCTTACATGTTGAACTCAAATACCTGTACTTTCTCCTTCTTACATGTTGAACTCAAATACTTGTACTTTCTACTTCTCTCATTTTCCAAACAGCTGGTTCCTTTAGTCTGAATGTGTGTTTGATGCGTGATCATTATTCTTTAGAGTCATTGCGTGCCTATTGATTTGAACACGATCCGTGTATCCATCATTTCCTGGTCTTCTCTAAAGAAGAGGGACCAATGGAAACGTTGTCATGTTGCCGTTGTTCAGCATGGAAACATTCATTAGCTAACAATGACATTATTGTTCTATTAATATAAAGGGAGGTCAGGTACTCTTTAAAACAGCTGCTAGTTATGGGTACTTTTTACTGAAGTACATTTCAAAGCCTCTTTACTTTTACTTGAGTAAAGAAGTTTAGTCAGTACTTCTACTTTTACCAGAGTATTTTTAAACATGAGTATCTGTACTTCTACTTGAGTAAAGGATGTGTGTACTTTTGCCATCTCTGCCAATGATTAAATAAAGATTAAATATCTTTAAATGTGTCCCTGGTTCATCCCCTCTACAGAAGCTGCTCTATGAGAAGTTAGAGGAGCAGCTACTGAACCTCGACGTTGCTCTGAAGAAGAAGGAACGAGCGGAGAGAAGGTGAGACATTTTGTTCCTTTTTAATGGCAGTTTAAAATGTGCACAAGCTTTTTAGGGATTGAGGGTCAAGTTAAAATAGCTGAGATACACTTTAGCCGCGTTCACACCGCAGTACTTTTCCCACTTTAGTTCCGATATAGTTCCGAAATGTCGCGTTCACACCAAAAAAATCCGGAACTAAAATTAGTTAATGAGAAACTTTTTACCCCCTTTTCCGTCCCTACTAGAGAGCAGGGACTTTCGTGGGAGAAAAAGGTTCCTATGTCTGATTGGCTGGGCGGATTGCAAACCACGCCCCTAAAACAAAACAAAAGGTTCTGTGAAGCCGCCATTTTATTATCCTCGCATTAGCATTATTAGCATTAGCCCAGCGCACAAACGCAGAGAGACTAACTTATGGCAACACAAAAAGAAAACATGGGAGCGGTGGAGATGAGGAGGTGTCGGCGTTCTGGCGATTTACTCTGAAGGCTTCAGTAGAAGCTGCTGGGACTCCCAGCAGCTTCTACTGAAGCCAGTCCCTAACTCCGGGGACTTCCGGCCGGGGACTTTGGGTGGCAGTATACGCCGTGAAGTTGTTTGCGGCCTGCCAGTAAACCCAAAGCAGAAGAAGAAGAAGTGACTTCAGCGGCTCCATTTGCCTAATCCTCCCCCAGGGACTTATTCCGGTGTGAACGCGATCTGTACTTCATGAGAACTAAAGAGTTCTCATGAACCTTTGTGGGAAAAGTACTGCAGTGTGAAAGCGCCTTTTTGAAAGGTCATTATTTCAATCAAAGAACACCATGCTCTTCCGCTTCCTGTCATGTCTCTTTCCGGTCACATATGAGCCTAAATCTAAGGCTACATAATGTTTGTTATCTCCTCCAGGAAAGAGCGTCTCATTTACGTTGGCATCAGTCTTGAAAACATCATCACGCCCGGAGTAAGTACAGTAGGTGTCTTTCTACATTTCTTCCAAATAAAAACATATATTCACCTTTTATTTGTATTTGTATAAAACATAACCATCTCTTGCTGCTCACAGGTGGAGGAGGAGAAGCCGGAGGTCATCATCAAAGAGAAGAAGGAGGCGAAGAAGAGTAAGAGCTGGGGACGAAGATCTACCAGGACGAAGAAGTCCATCAGCTACAGGTCAGTACGCTTTTAAATTAAAGGGGACCTATCATGCAAAATGCACTTTTTGATGTCTTTTATACATCAACATGTGTCCCCGGTGTGTCGGGGAACTCACGCAGCGTCAGAAAATAAAACCCTCTCTCTTTTCCTCCGTACCCAAATCTTTTAAAAACGGGGAACAACGGAGCTGATCCAGATTTGCGTCCGATATGACGTCATTTCAGATGGTGGACCCACAGAGAGTTGCTATCAGAAACAATGCCTGACGTGTTTTGGACGTAATCTCGTCTTGGTTTATATTAGCTAGCCTCGCTAACACTCAGAGCTAACCTGTAATGGAGAGCACGTGTTTAAAAAGCAGGAAATTAAAAAAAAGAACTCACCTTGTGATAAACGTGAGAAAGAAAAAGCATTTGAGCTCCATACTGTTTCAGAAATAATCCTTGATGTGGTTTAGAACAGGATGGCGTTTTATCACAGCACAATTTAACTTTATCTCTGGTAGAATTCTGATCAGGCATTAGCTCCGCCTCCTCTTTTTTTTTTCAAGCTAAGGACCCAAAATCAGAGTTTCTCTAACAGCTGGAATAGAGGGAAATGTGGGATTTCTAAAATGTATGTATCTGTTTGTATTTTGAGAAAAACACATCATAGACATGTTTTTTGTATATTTGTATACATCTGAGACCCATAATATATGCCTTAAAAAAGCATGATAGGTGACCTTTAAGTACAGTATAAGTAAATTGCTCTTTACAAGCGTTATCTGTAATCAATGTAACTTGATGGTTCTTGCCACTAGAAAGAAAATCCATTACAGAAAACTCCTAGTTTATTTTTGCAGGAAAATAATAACTGACGTACTGATCAGTTATACACTTTATTTCTACATACCAATAATCTGCAGATTTGTCTGTCCATATATTATTTAAAAGAACTGAATCAGTGAATTCACAATTTTTTTTAAAAACATTTTTGGCACATTTTGAATAACAATGATAATACATTTAATTTATTGAGCGCTTTTTCTGGTACTCAAAGACACTTTACATGTTAAATTCATAAAAAACAACCCAGTTAAAATATAAAAACACAACAATAATTAAGATAAAATGATTGTGGATGTTCATTTTACAGATTTGATGAATTTGACGAGGCGATCGAGGAGGCGATCGAGGAAGACCTCAGAGAAGCGGAGGGCGGAGGTACGAGGACTTTTCACTCTTTTCATGGTTATTTTTTAAAATCTATTTTATCTTTGTATTTTTTATTCTACTACATGAGCAACTGTCACACAACCTTATATCCGCCCAGGATTTTAAAAGTTTTGTGATTCTTAAAGATCAAATGCAAAGTTTTTTTTTTATAATTGCCAGTAAAATCGAAATCATATAGCTACAACACTATCTAAGATATTGCAGTATTAAAATCGGAGATAATATGCGTCTGGCAATGCGCAATATTTATTTTGTTCAACCCCCATCACCAAGTCCGACGATTTATTTTCTCAGCCGCTCCTCCGCAAGATGGCGTCGCGTGACGTCACAGTGGCCAAACAAACAAACCTTGGCTTATCGCTCACAGCTGCTTCCGCCGATAGTACAACTTAGTTTCGTTATCATGTCTGATTCTGAGTAGACTATAGACTAAAAGCTTTAGGAATCAAAACTATAACATATAATAAGTACCCTGTATCAAGATTGATGCAAAACAAGTGACGTTTGACCTTTTTAGAGAGGTTTAGAAAAATAAAGTCCAGGCGGACTCACCACTGGGTAATTTGGGAACCATCACAACCAAACACAATGCTAACAGTGAGACTCTGAATTAGCCCCGAGCGGAAAATGCTAACCTATTACTGCACCGAAATCACTCCTAGCGCCCTTATTACTTATCCTAGCTCCACATCCAACACATTGTTTATGATCGTAAAGACACAGAGTCTAACGGTGCCCACCTCTATAAGCACCCACTCGGCTGAAAGAAATGAAAGCATGGCGGAGGGCTTTTTTGATGCATAGGCCTAATGAAGTGGTTAGAAGAATGTTGGGTTTTCTAAGTGCTCACAGTCACTTTTAATTGCGCGGGGTGCATTTTTTTATTGGGCCAGGAGGAATAATAGTGGATTTAATCCCTATCATAATGCATATTGTTCACACTTTTCCGTTATGAGTGGAGGAGCGATGAATGAGCTGCAGATAAACTACAATGCTAACAGTGAATTAGCCCCGAGCGAAAAATGCTAACCTATTACTGCACCGAAATCACTCCTAGCGCCCTTATTACTTATCCTAGCTCCACATCCAACACATTGTTTATGATCGTAAAGACACAGAATCTAACGGTGCCCACCTCTATAAGCAATAAAACTGCAATTCCGTTATCTGCTGTGCTCCGTGCGCTTTGAAATCTAATCAAAAGTTGTTTACCTCAATTCTTTGGCGTTTCTGCATCGCCCGGCTCTTTCGTTCTTTCAGTGGTTTCTTGTGCTGAAATATGGAGGGGACGGCTCCGGGTTTCAGCCTCCGACGTCGTGCTATTAATGCTTCTCCACCAACAGCCTTCATGATAGCAGGATCAACGTCGTATGCATCACACGCGAAGTGGTCAGAACACAACTTGCTCCATTTTGTCGGTTGCCGTCCAACACGATTCACTAAAAAAATCCATTTTTTGCGGATGATTTGGTCTTTGGGAAATGCATGTAAAACTCTCCCAGATCCCGCACCGTTCGTACAACAAAAAGCTCAACAATAACCCATGTTAATTCAGTTTTCTTTTCGAAAAACATGTGACCGAGACTGCCGAGTCGGGATATTTGGTCCAGAGACTGTTTGGCCACTATTACGTCACGCGCGCGGAGGCTGCTGGGAATTACATGTCAGAAATTCAGACGGCTTTGGGTCGAGTTTTGGATCAATAAAAAGCTTTTTTTTGGGTGTATTATCTCGATTTAAATAAAATAAAAAATACAGGCAGTCTTAAAAACAACATTTCTATAAAAATGTAGCATATTTGGAAGCTTTGCATTTGATCTTTAAAGGTAGGGTAGGTAAGAATGTAGAAACCAGCTCGAGTGCGCTAGAATTTCAAAGTACGCAGCCAAAAAAAATCAATCACATGAATCTCCCGCCCCGGAGACACAAGCATTGATTGGCTAGCGCTTGTACTGGCATATGATTTGATTGGCTGACGCTTCCGTCGGCGCTTGAAACGTTGAACTTTTCTCAACTTTCGAAGCGAGCAACGTAAGCAAAGCGACGGAACCACAATGCAGTTCGGCAAAGCGTGACGTCACCCCATTCAAAGTGAATGGGAAGAAGCGTTGAAGCTTCAACGCACGCCGCCGTGTGGACGGGCCGTTACATGTATTTCTCAAGATGTTTGACAATCCTTTTTGAAATCAGAGTAAATTAATGACAGTGTTTTTCCTCAGGAGCGGGTCGGGGGAAAGACATGGCAAACATCACGGGGCTCCGAGGGAAAGACATGTCCGTCATCCTGCAGGCGGACGAGGGGAAAGAGAACGGAGAGACGCCCCAACCCCCTGCTGGGCCGCGGAGGAAAAAACGCCGACGACTGAACGACCTCGACAGCGACAGCACCGTCGACGAGGAGGAGAGCGAGGACGAGTTTCGCATCAGTGAGAGGTTAGAAACTGCTCCAAAATCAAAGCTAATATTAACATTGATGCTAGGTATCGTTGCACACTTATTTACAATTGTATCAACATCACAATATGGATTAGTGCAACATCATCACATTACTACAGACTTCAGATTCCTCTTTCATTTTCATTTAATGTTTTTCAAATATAATTTAATATGTCTACAAATATTAACATTGATTCTAGTTATCGTTTTTTTAAAATTCTTTATTAATTATTTTCTCACATTCCCCTTTACATCCATTAGTTCTCCAATTTAGATGAACAGTTTCTTTAACAAGGGGTCACGACATGTATAAGGACTTGAATCCCAAAAATTCAACATGAGAATATGAAAAACAAAACGTAGACAAATCAAATCAATATTAACACTGAGGTTAATTGCAATTTTATCAAAAATCTTTTCCCCCCGATGCAGCTCAGAGGAAGAGTTCGTGGCGTCAGAGAACGGCTCGGAGGCAGAATCGGACTCTAGCTGCGGGAAAAAACGAACATCGAAACGCAGGAAACCTCCGACAAGACGACGAAGTGCCAGGAAGCGAAGGAGACCGAAGGGATACTCGGACGATGAAGAGGAGGAGACGGACGAGGAAGATGAAGACGAGATGGGTATGTATATGAACAAAACAAAGACATCACTTATTCCACTGATGTTCCTAAAGCTAATATTACTATTACTACCACCGGCTGCTACTCTGTCAGAAGTGGAAGAAGTACTCTTATATTTACTGGAGTAGAAGTATAACAGTGTAAAAATACTCTGTTACAAGTAAAGGTCCTGCATCCATAATCTTAGTTTAGTAAAAGTGCGGAAAATATACTTAAAGTTCCCATGTCATGCTTTTCCGGTTATCACCCGTCCCCTTGTTGTTATGAAGGTTTTTCTGCATGTAAACGGTCTGCAGTCACAAACCCTCAAAGTACACCATGTAGCGAGTAAAACTCTAACACAGAAAAGACCAGTCTGTGCTGCCCCAGAACGCCTCGTTGGACATTTCTCTTTTTCTTCCTGGGTCCAGTGACGTGACCATACCCAATTGGTCCAAATGGACCAATCCGGAGCCGTTACGTTAGTGTGTGAGTGTGCCTTCCTCACACACACTCAATCTTTTCTCAGCTGCAGCTCCGCGGATTTCTCAGCCTGAGACGGCGGGACGCGGCGAGTCTGTGGGTGTGTGTGTGAGCACACACAGACTCACAGCCAGGCTGCGGGTGTGTGTGTGAGCACACACAGACTCACAGCCAGGCTGCGGGTGTGTGTGTGAGCACACACAGACTCACAGCCAGGCTGCGGGTGTGTGTGTGAGCACACACAGACTCACAGCCAGGCTGCGGGTGTGTGTGTGAGCACACACAGACTCACAGCCAGGCTGCGGGTGTGTGTGTGAGCACACACAGACTCACAGCCAGGCTGCGGGTGTGTGTGTGAGCACACACAGACTCACAGCCAGGCTGCGGGTGTGTGTGTGTGTGAGCACACACAGACTCACAGCCAGGCTGCGGGTGTGTGTGTTCGGGCTGGGTTTCGCTGTCTCGCCGACCAGGAAAAAAAAAAGTACAATATTGGGTTCCAAATTGTATTGGAGTAGGAGGAGTATTAGTGGTAGTCCTAGTGGTAGTAGTAATATTATTAGTTGTCGTAGTGTTAGTAGGTGGTAGGAGCAGTATTAGGAGTAGTTGTAGTAGTAGTAATAATAGTATTTGTAGAAGTAGTATTATTAGTACAAGTAGTAGTATTTCCCCTCTTTGGGAGGAATAAAGGAGTTCTGTTTCTGCTGTAAAATAAGCATTGTGTTTCTTAGCCCCACATGCCTTCTCACTTTGTATTTCTGTGATGTTTCCAGCGACTGAGGGCTCGAGCGAGTACAGCGACAGCGATCTGGACATGAGTCGGCGGCGCTCTCGGAGGAGTAAGAAGGCTCAGGTGAACTACAGAGAGACGTCAGAGTCCGAGGGCTCGCAGGCGGAAACTAACCGGCCCAAAATGAAACCCAGACGACGCATGAACAGCTCCAGCAGCGAGGGTCAGTCAATCACACACACACACACACACACACACACACACACACACACACACACACACACACACACACACACACACACACACACACAGTAACACACCAGTAGTAATACAAACGTCTTTTTACACGATAACCATGTATTTATTTGCAAGAATATTCAAACTAATAAACCTACTCGCTTAAAAATCGTGTAAAATGTAATGAACCCCTTCACATCAAGGGCAATATCATAAGAGTACTTTTTCATTCTGTACTTTTTTAGGTAAAAGTATTAACAGTAGTATTATAAGTATACTTTAGGGCTACTTGATCCTGTCTCTCAACATGACCGCAAGACATCGTGATGGAAAGAATGGAAATGCAAAACACGTTTCAACATTTCTTTTCTCAAACTCTATTTTCTTGAAGAAGATCAGACGAAAACCCTAACCCTGATTTTAGTGTTGCATCTTGTGGGGCCGCACAGTTAATTGCACAATGCATAGTATTTGGTAAATGAGAAATATGCCAAAATATCAAGTGGATCTGCAGAAGTCCCAACCTACAACAGCTATTCTCCACTTAGCGAGCACACACTAACACACACACACTAACACACACACTAACACACACACTAACACACACACACTAACACACACACTAACACACACACTAACACACACACTAACACTAGTAGTAATACAAACGTACACGATGATCATGTAATTATTTGCAGGAATAGAAGATGTCCCGGCATCCATACTAATATACCTACTCGCTTGAAATTGTGGAAAGATTCACAAAAAAGACTTAGCAGTACAGATAAATGTGGGCTCACTATTTGGCAAGATGACCTAGCTTACTTGGTCTTCTTCATCAGCCAGCATCCTTGGTATCTGTTGCTCACCGAGTTGATTCTCGCTAATGGTATATTTCCACTGCAGCGGGTAGCCCCGTTTAAGCGTCCTTAATTGTCCTCAAGCGGCCAGGCCAGTTTTTGGTGGCCTTTCCATATAGCGTAGCACCGGCTAGCGGGTACTTTTCCCCTCTTTTTCCGGCCCCATAAAATCGTGGTTCTATCAGGCCAGGGCCAGGGCTGAACTAGTGACGTCAACACTCTCGACTGCTGATTGGTCAGAGAGAATCGTCACAAGGCGCGAGATCATCCCTAGCGTTGCATATATATCTAGAAGCAAGCTTGCAGCATTTTTGTAAACGGAGGAGCTACAAAAATGGCAACGTCAAAGAAAAGCACACCGTGGTCGACCGAGGAGGTGACGACGTTCCTACATCTCATTGGGGATGATAAAATCCAGCGGGAGCTCGACGGGAGCCCCGCCTACACTGCGTTGCTACCCCAGGTCCTAAACTGTAATGGACATGCGCCACGGCCTCGGACGGCCAGCAAGGCAGCCCGAGGCCTGAGCGAGGACGCTTAAACGGGGCTACCCCGCTGCAGTGGAAATGTGCCATAAGTAGCCAATATAAGGCTTAGTCATCTTGCCAAATAGTGAGCCTGTGTTGACGTATGAAAACGATGTTAGAGCTGGTTTATAAATGGTTCTTAATGATTAATAAAGTGTTTACAACCTAATTAATAACCTAATTATAAACCTGTCATGCATCCTTTATGAGGGTAGTCTTATTGTAAAGTGGTACCTGTTTGAATATCGGTAGATCCCATCAGAGCTCCCGGAAGCTAAAGGTGTCTCTCTTCTTCTTTCCTCAGCGAGTTCCTCCAAAGACTCAGAGGAGGAGTCGAAGGAGCCTCGGAGGAAGAGGAGAGGCGACTCTTCGTCGGAGGAAGAGGAGGAGGAGAAAGATTCAAAGCAGAAGCCCCGACGTATCGCTCTGAAACGCAGACGAGCCTCCAAGGGCGACGAGTCGGACGACGACTCTGACGCATCGTCTTCAGAAGAGGATCGACCCGTCCGGAAACGTGTGAACCGAATCGACTCTGACGATGACGAGGAGGAGGAAGAGAAGAAAGAGGAGAAAGAGGAAGAGGAGAAACCGAAGGAGAAGAAAGCAGACGAGGAGACAAAGGGAACAGTGGACAGCACTCCAGTGGATTTGCCGCCTACAAATGGACAGAACGCGATAAAAACCATCGTCACGCCAACAGAGGCTCCAAAAAATATCACCGCGGGCGCCATTGTCGCTCCGAACGGACAGGAAGTGGCGCCGCAGGAAGAAGACGAGGACGACCTGTTGGGAGTCACGGACCTCGTGGACTACGTCTGCAATAGCGAAGATTTGTAAAAGAAAGAAAAAAGGTGTACTGTTTCATTTTTTGTGGTATTGTATTTTTATATTTAACTTTATTATTCCCGCCAACACCAACAACACTTCCTCCTCTGCGTCCCTTTTTCAACATCCGGACATTTTTCTCTCCTGACTGTCACTGTGGGATCAAACTGCAAATAAGGGCACCAAACTTTTTATTTTTAAATAATAATCTGTTTGACCCCCACGTCACCCAGCTCCACTGCCAGACCCCTCCTCTCATTGCTCCTCTCGCATCCTCACGGTTTTTTATTTCGTTGAATCCATAATTTCTACAGATTTGATCTCCTGTTCTCTCGACGTTGATGGAAAATTGGCACTGAATTTGTTAAATGTTGTAGGAAACAGAATATGCTAAACCACTGGGGCTTTTTAACGGTATTTTACGAGTTAAATAAGTCATTCCACTATTGATTTTAAAGTTCTGGACATTTGCTTCAAAATGAATCGTGTTTTTTTCATCACAAGAATAGTTTTTGACATTTTGGGAAAAATGTAAAACCTCAAATGTCGGTTTGGCTAGTTAGCTTAGCACAAATATATATTTCGGAATAATCTGGTAATCTAATATTGATTTATAGATTGTGACAATAAAAAAAAACATATCAATAATTATGTGCAAAAATATATTAGCATTTAATTTATGTTTCTACAAAATAAATAGTGTAAAAACGTTGATTTGCAGACATATCTTCCAAAAAAAATACACGACCTTTTTACACGATTTATCGGATGAAATAATGTGTTAATTATATAGCTTTAGTTTCTGTTAAGGCAAAACTAGGCTAGCTGTTTCCCTCCGTTTCCAGTCATTGTGCTAAGCTAGGCTAACCCGCTGCATTAAAAGCATTATAATTAAAATTCAGTTACATATATAAATATCTAACTCATGAAATCGAATAAGCATAGTTCCCAAAAAGTCAAACTTTTGTTTCAAACTATTCTTGTTAATTGTTGTAAAAGCTTTAAATGAGACTATTAATTCTTACCGAACGACTTTATGAATAATAAGTAGTCAAAACCAGGCTAGCTGTTTCCAGTCATTGTGCTAAGCTAAGCTAACCCGCTGCATTCTAACTTCCTGAAACCAGTTAGCATAATTCCCAAAATGTCAATTATTGTGAACTGGGGTGTTTTTTCTTCCTGTAAAAGCTTTAGATAAGACTTTTTATTCTTGTCGAAAACCTTCTAGACTATGAAGTAGTCGTCCAACCCTTCTGTTGAATCGTAGAGTAGCTTTTGTAAAACATATATCATGATTTTAATTATGTGCGCTGCCATCAGAAAATGTCAAACTCGTCCCTCCTTATCTTGAGCTAGTTATTACACATGTTTCTGTTTTTTAATAATGTTTTTGTATATCTAAAAACTTTCATTTCTTGTTGTCTATGAGCGAATGTAGGGTCTTGTTTTTTTTTGTACAATGTCCTTCACAAAGGTTTAAAACCTGCATACTTTTTAAGACGTTAAACAACACTAAGCTTAAGAAAAACAGCCCCTTTTCCACTTTTTTATTTGATCTTTTGGTCGTTATTCTTCTCCTGGGTCTTCCTGTTCACATCCTCCATCTGTCGTCATCTTGCAAACATTTCGATTAAAAAAAAAAAGCTCATTTCTTTTTGATTGATGGTCGGGATGCAGTTTTAAAACGAGGGGAAATGGACAGAAAACCAATGACTTCGCTGACCTCTGCTGGAACCAGTCTGTGTGTATATCTGTAGTTTCTTGCTGTAAAATATTTAGAGGCATTTTTTTATCATGGAAAATATATTGGGCAATTCTTTGGGATTGCATGTTTCTATTAGTTTTCTTTTTGTAGGGGAAGTAACTTTTGTTTTGTACCAGAAAAGCACGTTTTAAAGGATCTGTTGAAGGACTTTTAAAGCAGAAATAATTCAGAAGCATGCGCTGACCTACTAAAGGCATGTTACACAAGCTTTGGGTGGAGAGGAGGGATTATAGGGAATAATCAAGGACGGAGAGATCAGATTTTAACCGCGGAAACGGAGCGTGTTTGTAAAATATTTTGTAAATTAGTCTCAGCATGGTCTTCACAGAGAAAAAACCACTCTATTTATCATAGCGTTTTGATACCAGCGGCCAAAAACATGACTTTCCCCAGACAGAAAACACATACACAAATATTTAGCTTCTAGATTTAGCTGGACAGAGTATAGAAAATGTAAAAAATGGTCAAAGGAAATGTCTCTGTGTTCTGGATGTAACCCCGTTTTTAAAGAAGCCTCCACAGAGAAAAAGGAATGTGTTAATAATAATAATGATGTATCTCACGGTTATAAAATAACCTGTAGCAAGACCTGCATCGGAGCGAGATGAATAATAAAAGTCTGGGATTAAAGAGGGTGCCAATGACTGAAGTGTTAACTATTTACCTCATGATGAATCTGGGAGGAAAGTTAGACGCTCGTAGACGCTGGTTGGTGTTTGTCTGCTCCTTTTTGTTAATTTTACTGTTATTTCATATGAATCTGATCTTGTACATTTGTCATAATAAAATGGGTTTCGAGCCTCACGTCGTGCCGCCTTGTGAGTCTTCATGTGGAAATTAAAGGGTTGAATCAGCGTGTTGGAAATAGGCTTACACAGAGTTGCTTTGATCACAATAAAAAATATTTTTATTGTGATTTTAAACCTAAAAATCACTCATAAGATTATATATTTCAATTTCTTTACTTTCCAAATGATCTTTTACGGTTGTTTTTTTCAAATAACTCCCACTTGTTTTCTTAGAACATTTTCCCTTTTGAAAATTGCTGTAATTTATTTATTTTCTTGATCATAATAATTACTAAATAAGTTTTTCATTTTCAGAATTGTAACACTTTTAGTGCCAGTTTGTTTCATAATACCACTGTTAAAGGTGGGGTGGGTAATTCACTTCAGAAACGCTTTTTATATCCCCCCCCCCTCTCTGGTCGCTACAATGAGGAAATGAAATGACGGGCCAAAAGTTTTATTCACAATTATTAAAAGTAAGCATAGGACACCAAACCAACTGAGACCTGTCTGCCGTACACACACACACACACACACACACACACACACACACACACACACACACACACACACACACACACACCCCATGTATACATCACTTCAGGGGACATTACATTGACTTACATGCATTTCCTGGAGACTTATCCTAACCTTAACCATAACCAACACATGCCTAACCCTAACCTTTACCCTTAACCTCACCCTTACCCATAACCTTACCCTAACCAAGTCTTCACCCTAAAATTAATGATTCTCCTCATGAGGACCTCCATTTTGTCCCCATAAGGGAGGCGAGTCCCCACACGTGACTTAACAGATGTAGGTCCCCACAAGTATAGTAATGATAGACCACACACACACACAATATATAATCAGGCTACAGCCGTTGTGTATTTTATTATGTGAAGCACTAAATGGTCTTAGAAAAATATCTACTAAACTAAAGCAAATAAAGAGAGTGGGCCTGTTATACTGAGTGATATATATTATACACACTGCTCTGCTTTCTGCACGGACCTCACAGCTGTTCTCACTGTAAACATTGCGTCTGATTCAAGCAGTTAATAAAATAATATCCAGGGGGGGATACATGCAGAGCTGTCATTGGCTGAGATCAGTCCGGCCGTGCGTCACGACTCTTTGAAACATCTCTGTTGCCGGAAATGCATCCGCGGAGGAGCCATCAGTGTATCCTCGATGATAGCTCCTCCAGAGAGCCTCCTCGGTCCTCGATGTGCATTTAGAGAAATGAGATGTCCTTCAACATGGAGCGCTGAAATCCATTTCTGGGTCACTACCGGAGGGCGGAGGAGTCGAGGAGGGGGAATTAGTGAAATGAGAATGGGCCATAGTCTTGGGATGTATCAATAATCCATCGTTTAATTTAATAAAACACAAACAATCCCAGCCGGCTCTGTTGTGATTGGTCAACCGCTTAGAGATGTCCCGCCCCTAAGCCTATCACGTACAATGTGTCGGAGCGCTAGCCAATAGAAGCGTGAGTGTTACATAATGATGTCACTA